CATCCATCCCTCCATCCAACCATCCATTAATCCATCCAACCATCCATCCATCCTGCATATCGTTTTACTCTCATTCTTTCTCTTTCTTTCGGGGTTCGATATACTCCTACCATGTTCCTAATTCCGCTGGGCATCCAAAATCTTTCTTAGTGGTTCCAAAAGTATGCTTTATATTGGCTTCTATGCGAAGTCTTGCAGAGTAGGAAGCAGAGTTCAGGGTACGAGTAACCTTTACTGCGACGGCAACCTTAAAGTTTTTTTCTGCTTTTAGTGGAAGCCAGTAAATACTTCTTCCAGTTGCTTTGTCAATGATATCAAATTTTTCCAGGATTATCCGATCTGATAAAAGAATATCGAAGAGATTTATTTTAAAAAAGAGTCTTGTCAAGAAGGGAATGAGTTGCTTGATTTTTTTTTTTTTTTTTTTTTTGGTAATTCAGTAACAAAAAGAGCTAGTGCCCTTAATAACCAATGTGCACGAACACGAATCTCTAACACAAAGCATGATGGGAAACCAGGTACTACACAAAATTGGAACAAGGAAATCAATAGAATTATCAGGGGAAAAAAATACTCTGTTATTTTCGTCTGTTGAAATACTTACAGTTTCATATATAGAAAAAGTCGAAGGAAAAATTGTCACAGAGATTTTTAGAGGAGCTGAAAAACCGTAAGTACTCGGTTTCCCATCATGCTTTGTGCTATAGATTCGTGCTTGAGCACATTGGCTATTCGCGACTCTTGTGGATCGATAATAAACTTGTTCAATAGCCCTAATTCGTCTTTGTGTAATGTTAGATTACAGACTTTAGATTATGATTTCTGTGTTTGACGCTTGCGCATAAAAAGACATATGAATATGGAAGCAACTCACTCTAAGAACTTGTCTTATTCTCTAGGGAATGACGCGTGGCTGCCTACTATATAAAAAATGCATAAAAGCGTTTTTGAATCACAAGTTTTTGAACGCAAGTTAAATTAACATTTATTTACTGGGACCGAGGGAAACATTGTGTTTTGTGATCCCGAGACGGCGATGTTTCTCTGACGAGCAAAGCCAAGGGAAACAGTGCAGTCGAGGGACCACAAAACACACTGTTTTCCCAAAGTTCAAGCCAATAAGTGTTTTGTTATATATCAAGTGTCAAAGAAAAAAAGCAATTTTTTGATTTTTTGATTGTTTGAATTCGAAAATCTTAGAAAAACTTACATTTCCGAGAAATTCACTTCCGGTATTGGTTTTACCGGTCAACAACGTATTGGTGCCCGCTGAAAGCCGTTGCCGGGGAAATATCAAAACTTGTTCACGTTCACGTCACACCCTCTCGCCCAATCAGAGTACGAGAAAAATGGACTTTGATAGTGGTATATAAATTGCTGATTATTCACTTTTGCACACGAGATTGTGTCGTTGCGCAGAAGCATGCGCAGTAGCTTGATTTTTCTATAGTAGACAGCCATCTTAAGGTTACACCTGTGGCATTGGACAGAGAACTTACTGGTACAAACTGCGTCAACGTCCAAGCCAAGTGCTGTCATGATGACCACGATACAGAAGACAGTGACCGCCATTTTCTTTAGCAGATACTAGATATAGATTAAAATCAGAGACTTATCATTATTTATCGACTGGTGGCGTTGGGGGCCGAGGAAAGGGGAAGGAGGGGGTAGGGGAGGAGAGAGAGGGAAGGATTTTGGAGGTCGTGTATCATTGATTCTGATCCCTGATCTAGGTAATGAAAACAACACCAGCCATAAGTCACTTAAGGCGATGGAAAAGGTTTCGTGGTGCTGAAACAGGATCATTACTATGTGATGCAAAATAATTGGCTACAGTAGCATTTGATCCACGTCGTATATCCATCACGCAAATCCAAATGCCTTCCTTTCTTTCTTTCTTCCTTCGTTCAAGAACTTAGTCATTTTGTTTCTTTTTTTGATATTTTGTTGTGTTGGTTGGTGTGTTGGTGTGT